TCATAAAGAGGGAAAAAGAAATAATGCATATAATATTGTGGCCCAAAGATTGCTGGGTCTAGTAAAAAAATGAAATCAGGAATTGTTGTTTTATAGTCAGTCATAAGCAAGATATTAAAGCAATGTTTTCTTATTGTTAAGTACCTTTGAGTCCACTATGACTCATAATCACCCTATGAACAACATTTTTAAAGTTTTTATTGGTTTACATATAATCATTCACATACATTGTGTTTTGTGTATGTACTTCATGTTTTATATAATTCATATACATTGTTTTATATAATTGCCATTGCTCTATTACCCTTTTCAAATCTCCATTGAACCTTTCCCATGACTTCTCTCTTCCACCAACCTCTGCTATCCCCATGATTTCCCCTTTCTCTTCTTCTACCTGCCTTCTTTCCCTTTTCATCAATTACACACACCTCAGTTATCTATTTTCCCAATAATGGCCGTATGCAATATTTGTTCTCGTGACTGAGATATTTCACACAACAAAATGTTCTATAGTCTCTAGCAACCTATATAGTATTTGTTCTTATTTGCTTTTCTACTGACAGCATGCTGTAAGGTCTGGTTTCACCTGTCTTTCCAGGGTGTACCTTCCCCTTCTTCCTTCCTCTGTCTTATCACTTTAACAAACCTTTTCACTTGTTTTGCTAAAAAATTTATATAGTACAAAATTGTTACTCCTCAGTGCTGCATAGTATTCCACTATGTGAATATACCACTATTTCTCAATTTGTTTGTTGATGGACCTTTGGACTTTCCCACTACTGTTAACAACATTACTATAAACATAGGTATACATATGTTCATTTGTGTCTCACTTCTGATTTCCTTGGGATATATTCTTAGCAGTGGAATAGCTAAGTCATATTTCTATGTTCAGCTTTTTGAGGAAACATCAAACTACCCTCCAGAGTGGATATATCATTTTACGATCCCACCAGCAGTATGTGAGTTTCAATCTCCCCGTCTTCTCCAACATTTATTGTTTTCTGGGTTGTTAAACTTTGCTACCACTTCTGGAGTGAGATGGTATCTCACTGTTGTCTTGATGTATGTCTGATTGCTAGTGATTTTGAACATTTCTTCACCTGTTTGTTAACCATCTGAATGTCCTTTGTGAAGAATCTTTTCATACCTTTTGCCCATTTTGTGATTGAGTTACTAGTCTTTTTCCTGTGGAGATCCTGTAGTATTCTGTAAATAAGGTTATGAAACCCTTATCTGAAATGTCATTGCAAAATGCTTTTTTCCCAAATCTGTGGGCTTTCTTTTTACTTTACTGGACAAAGTTTTTGATGTACATAGAAATTCTATTTTAAGAAGGTCCAATTTATCAATTTTATCCTCTCCAGGCTGTGCAATTTTTGCCAAGTTACAAGCCTATTTATGTTGTAGGTCAGGGCTTCTAATTTTGTTTCTATTTTGTCTCTTAATAATCTTTATGGTTTTAGGTTTTATACCTCCGTCTCTCCCTGATCCTCTTTGACTTGGTTATATATGGTGTGAGATGTGGATCTGGTTTCAATTTTCTGTAGCCAGATGCCCAGTTTTGCCAGAATCATTTATTAAAGAAGCTGTCATTTTCCATATAGTGCATTTTGTTACCTTATATATTAGTTGACCATAGGTTGATGGTTGGAAGGAGTGGCATCCACTTCCATAATAGCTTGCCTCCGGAAAACCTGTGAACCTGAAGAGGATGAAAGGCACCCAAGTGTCAAGAACTCTCCTTCGTAGGGTCGCTATGAGTTGCCTGCAACTCGATGGCACTTAACAACAACATAGGTTGATGGATTGATTTATATATTAATTCTGGTCCATTGATCTATTTGCCTGTTGTACCAATACTATGCTGTTTGGTTTTTTTTTAAAATTTAAATAGCATTCAGTTTATTACAAATACTTAGTATTGGCTTCCCATATTTCCTCCCTTTTGTTTTTATCATAATTATGTTATCATCTAGATGAGCATCCTTTATACACAAATAAAACAAATTAAACATAATAAACTCAAAGAAATACTTTCAAAAATCTCCATATGATTAGAAGGATTCAGGTTGAATATTCCTTGGAAGTTTAATTGTCCCATTGACACAGTGCTTGTCAAAACCAGTTCTGATTTATCTCCCTTGTCTCAATGTGTCCTTTGCCATTCCCTATAACTCCTCCCTGAGAGAGATTTCACCCTGATTCATAAGGAAAAGGGGACGGCATATACTCTTAGCTACTTCTTGCTGAAAAGGGATGCTGTAGGTTTCAGGGTGAAGATCTCTCACTACTCTAAAGGGCCCCTGTAGCAATAGGAAACACGTAGACTATTATGGAGATTGATTTTGAAATTTACATGCACTGTTATCAATTGTGCTTAGCCATGCATGTTCATATCCTTGAAGATGCATCATGGAACTGTTGCCTAGAAGACACAAATTTAACTAACAAGTTAAAAACACATGAGTAAAAAATTAAAAGCAGTAATATTCCAAGTAGAGGTTCTAACAGTGGCACAAATCAAGTTACAGAGGGAAGATAGTTGTTAAAATAAAAGGCTTATTGACTAGCACTTTGTCTATTATAGTATAAAGGTTAGGAACCACAAGATGTAGAGGCTCAACTATGTCATTTATTGTTCTTAAGTCCTGGCCTAAATTCCATCTACCACTGGGTTGTTTCACAGCTTTGAAGTTCACATGCAAAGCAGAGGTGCAGCGAGGAACTGCTTATGAGGTTTTCTGTCAATTCCAACAACTAAGAAATAGTGAGAAGAGTTGGGACCTAAGAAGGCTTTTAGGACCAAATAATAGGCTCTTGTGTCCAGGAGAAAATGAATATACTTAACAGTAATGTTAATGCTTACCCACGGCTCTTCTGGGAGGATCTGAATCATTGAAGCATCCTACTATGCTGTTTTGATTACTACAGCTGTGTAGCAAGTTTTGAGGTCAGGAAGTGAATGCCTCCAAATTTATTTGTATAGAAGAGCTTTGCTTATTCTGGGTCTCTTTCCTTTTGAAAGGAAACTGGAAAATGACTTTTCTATCTCTGAAGAATGAATTTGGTATCTGTATTGAGATTGCATTGAATTTGTAGATTGCTTTTTTGTGGTGGTGTATTGGGTCCCTGTGATACCACAGGGTTCAGGCACAGGAGCCTCAGTCACAGCCTCACTGTCAATGATGGTGAAGAGACTGTTTGCTGGTGGTGCTGAGGTGGGTGGGCTGTGTGGGACAAGATGAGCAGAGACCCACTGAGACCATTTTCTTTTCCTCTGACACCTGGAGAAGGGCTGTGTGTGTGTCCCCCCCCCATCCCTCTGACCTGTACATCTCTCAGCAGAAGGGCGTGGTGTGACCCGCTCACCAGGACGCGTGGCTGCAGTCATCGCCCTGCTGGGAGCCGTTTCTATAATGTGCTATGTTCTCAAAGCAAACACTACACTGTCGGCCAAGTGCAACCGGGGCTGCTGGACTTAGGGCTGCACAGGGGCTCGGAGGTCCCCCTGAAGAGCCCGCTAGTATGGCGCTGGCTCTGCGGTGCTGTCCTGCATCACTGCTGGATTAGGTGACAGTGAGTGGTCACACATTTGTGTTTAGTTTCTTACATGGAAAAGAAGCCATCAGACCACACAGTGTAGCCCTTGTAGATCATGCTGCATGGTTTTCAAGTGACATTTTAAATGTTCTAGTACCTCTCACTGGTCACTGTCTAGGCCCCTTAGGATGGGAGATGTGACCCCACTAAGTGGATGTGAAAGCCCTGCTTGTGCTGGCAGAGCCTGTCCTCCCCAGTGACCCTGTAACTTGTGTGTGGCTGTGGCCCCGCACTGTCCACGACCACTGTAGGCTGAAGCTTTGTCAAGAGCAAGTGCCTGTTGATGGGAGTCTGGCCTACTTGGGTAATAGTGTGTGTGTGTGTGTGTGTGTGTGTGCACGCGCGTGTTGTCCAGCTCGGTCCTATGTGGTCTGGGGTGTCATCAGAGCTGCCTGCCTTGACAGCTTGCTGGCTTTCAGGGTTCAGGGGACCAGGGACATCTCAGTGTTAAAGCGGTGGCCCCATACAGCAGTTCCTCCTGGCTGACAGAATGGATGGTAATCTGTAAATGTGGATGAACTGGTACAACTACTGGACAGGAGAAATTATGGTCCATGCTCTGCTAGAAGCACATGCTCCTTAGGAAACGGGCTGTTGTGTGCCTTCACAGCATCTACATCTTTTTAATGGAAGGAGTGCCAATCAGCACTGTGATGGCAGCTGACCCCACACCTGCTATATGTGACCTACTAAAGTCTTGGTGACAGTCCAGGCTCCTGAAAGGGTCCCCACATCTCTGTCCCCTACTCCAAGGCTCTGGACCCTCCCAGTACTCAGGTCTGACAAGTTCAGCCTGCCCCTGGTCCCCCAGTGAGCAGCCTCTTACCCAAGGTGTCTAGTTCTACTGTGAAGTGGAACCAGGGACATGTCTTTCCTACCTTTCACGCTATTTTTAACAGAAAGGTCATCTTGAGAAAGCCTGGGGTTTTTCGTCATTACTTCTTAACAGAAATTAGGAAAATTGAGATTTTATTGGAGTAGAAATTTTCTGGTTTTCAAAATTGTAACATTTGAAATTTTTATTTTCAATAATGACATAAGTTCATTCAGACCATTTTCCATAAATAACAGGCTAATGATCTGGGCTTTTAACAACTGAACAGTATGTTCTCCTAAAGAGTACTTAAACACGACATGAGGAGGGGGTGACAAGTGGCAAGTGAAGATGCTGCAGAAACCAGAATTGTTCTTATCAGACTGTCACAATGGGATTAAGTTATGGTACAAACTTGCTTTTTCCTTAAATTCATTCGGTGGTAAAAGAAACCCAGAAGGCGGTTTACACACAAGTGCCCCCTGGGATGCTGCAGCTTCTTTGGGCTAATGGGGGCTGCTCTTCATCAGGCCTGCTCAGAACTCTGCTCAGTGAGCCCTCATGGCAACAGGTCCCAAGGCCCCTAACAGGCCTCTCGGTGCCTCTTGCTGTTTTCTTGCCCATCAGTGTCTGGATACTGAGAGAGATCCAGGGTAAGGACTCGGCTGAACATGCAGTCCTCATGCTGCAGGGAAGATAGAGCAAACGTCAGCGCCCAGCTTAAGGAACCCAAAATTGCATGTGTTTAAAAAAGGAGCTGGTCTGTACCCCCTTCTGAGGGCATTCAGTTTGTTTTTTGTTATCTGGCATGTTTTTTATTTTTTGGTGCCATCAAGTCAACTATGACTCAGAGCAACCTCAGGAATGGCAGATCTGAAGCCTGCCGGATCCTGTGCCTTCCTCACCGTGTCTGACATAATTAAACCCACTGTTCCTATCTGAGGTTCTTTGAAGAAGTATTTCTGGCCCCTACCACAGAGGAAGGGAAAACAGAGGGAGCTGTAATGGCATCGTCTGTAGGAAGCCGCACTGCTCACCAGAGGTTGCACCTCTCTGGTAGTCTGAATCCACCAGCAGCTTTGAGGGAGAAAGATGGGCAGTCTCCCCACATGTGAGTGATAGGCTCTGAAAACCCACTGGGGGGACCAGCTAGCTACAGGAGGGGAAGTGAGTTTTTGCCCGTGCTTAAAGGCACAGGAAGGCTAGTCACTACTTCCTGAGGTTAAAGGAACATCTAAGAAGTAAAATCTAACTCTAAAAACTAAATGATCAGCTGGAAGCACTTTCCTCCTTTTGCTCAGGGAAGAACGAAGGGTTCAAATTCCAGAAGCTAAGGGAGAACTTGGATCTTTCCTGATGCCTCTGGAAGAGAACTGGTCCCTGCACGGTTCTAACACTCACACTACAGATGGAAGTACAGCTCTGAGAGCTCATCCCCACGCATGCTAACTCACAGTTATTTCACAATTAGAGACCAGCTGTTCACTGCTTTTAAAAGAGATCTGAACTTTCTGTACTGTGTGTAGTTACTGTGAAATCCTATTTGATAAAAAATTATGTCTGCTTCAAGTCTAGAAATCAAACAGTATCTACAAACTCTACTGGGAATCTTATCTTACTGTAATTTTGACATGGTAAACATATGTAGTACACACACTTGCCATTTCATCCACTGTTAGTGTATCATTCAGTGACCTTCACTCCACACTGCACCTCCCCCCCATGGAATTTTTCATTTACCTCTGGGTAGATGCCAATCAAGGCGTCAGCTTTTGAATAGAACTCCTCCTTTAGAGAGATGATTATCATTTGAAACTGCTCTTGTGTCTGTTCTTTGATGTAACTTGATACCTGAGGAGATAGATACAAGAAAAGTGTTGCTGGTAGGGTTAGGGGCTCCTCAGGTCCCCCAGCACATCCACCATGACTGCAGACAGGAGGCAAACGAAGTAGAAACCCATGAGAGGAAAGTGTTTATGACAACGTACAGCTCTAACTTAACATACTCCTGTGGACACAGAGTCAGCCCTGGCAATAGGTTAAGACAAAAAAATCCTGTTGGGATCAATTCTCTTATGAAGCTCAAGGTGGACTGGTATTTCAACTTCCTATTTTGCCAGCTCCCAGCTGAAAGAGAAAATGTAGGAGTCATCAGTGTATTTATGATTGCTAATCCACTCAAATCCAGAGGATACTACCTTGCTGTGGAAAACAAAGAGGAACTGACACAATGAAGTAAATCAAAGACCACAGTCTCAATTAGAGTTCCCATCTCCACAGGAAAACAGAACCCACACAAATAGCCAGCAGGCAACATGATAGATGGCAAGGAGACCACAGCTGGCACAGGTTTCATTTTCCTCAGACATATGACACCATGGAAGCAAAAGTCAAAAGATGGTGTTGCACTGGACAAATCTGCTGTCATAAACCTCTTTAAAGTGCTAAAGAGATACTTCAAAGACTATGATATTTTTAGTTGTTTCCTGTGCATCTGAAGTTGGACAATGAATATAAAAGACCAGAAGAATCAATGGCTTTGAACTGTGCTGGTAAAGAGTACTGACTATACCACAGACTGCCAATGAACAAACAAATTTGTCTTGCAAGAAATAGGAATGAGCAGCCAGAATGTACCTTAGAGAAAAGGCTGGTGAGACTTTGTCTCCATACTTGGGTATGTTGTCAGGAGGGGCCAGTCATTGGAAGAGGGCATCATGCTTGGAAAGGCAGAGGACTAGAGATGGAGAGGAAAACCCTTCCTTGATGAGATGGGTTGACACCACAGCAATGAGCTTCCGCACAGCAGAGGTGGTAAGGATGATGCAGGATCAAGTGGTTTACATCTGTTCTATGTAGCTTCAATATGAGTCAGGGTTCACTCCACAGCACCTGACAATAGTCCTGTAGCTTGGTTAGCGACAAACTCTGACCTTTGGGTAAGCACAGTCCCAAGAAAATGAGAACAGAGCCTGGCAGAGGGCATGAGCAGTGCTGTGGACAGAGTGGTCAGAAGCTGGGACAACAGTGAGACTGCATGCACACCAACAGCAGTCTGAAGAGAGCACTGCTGCAGTGGGAATGGCAGCTCCAGAGTAGACAGATGAGGGTATGATCAGAAGTGACTCCTGACCGTGAGGTGGGATACATGGACCTAAGGGGATCCAGCAAGAGGCTGCCACGCCCACTGGTTCCAGGATGGAGAGTCCTGGGAGACTGAAAGAACCAGGCAAGGAGACTCAATGCATGGAGACACAGGGCACATACTGTTCTGAGGGTTATATGTGAAATGGAGATAAATCCAGCACCACTACCTCATTCTAGGCCACACAAGTTCTCCTGCTTTGACAGGGTCCGGTTTTACCACTTTTCTGTCACTTATGTTAGGGGAAAAGTATTTTCCTTTCTGGCAGGTTTCTGCTTTACACAAGTCTCAGCTTTTCCTCTAAAAAGTACAGGCCACATCACATCTGTACATGCTACACAGTAGCTCCTAGTCCAACAGTAATCAACTTCAGTCTCAGGGAAATGGGAAGGTAGGTGCTTTTAGCACAGAAGTTGGTCAAGGGTTCCCAGAGGTGCCACCAGTGCAAATGTCCGCACATGAGTTGCCACCAAACCCACCACTGTCCATTTGATCCCGACTCAGGGAGCTGGTACAGTCTTCATAGTAGCTGTCTTTATCTTTCTTCCAAGAAGCAGCTGGTGGCTCTGAACTGCTAACCTTACAGTTAGCAGCTGGCCACTTAACCTCTGTGCTGTATCCAGACCTTAAATACCACCAATGAGGTGACAGAGACCTTTCACAGAATATGGGGGTGTGTGGTGTCAGACCACACCAAATGGGAGGGGTTCCCAATCAGCAGATGGAAGCAAGCTTGCCCTTGGTAGAAGGGAACCAAGATCTCTACTCTGCTGCTCTCTCTCCAAGACACCAGAAGGCTCTGTGACTGGTCTGATCTGGCCAGTCCCTTGTAAGGTGGGGATTTGTTTTTAGGTTTTTTGGGTACGACTGCATGTTTAAAAAGCAGGCACTAGAGATGTCTGTTAATACAACCTGGGAAATACTGCCACCTTCCAAGGTTGTCCAGGCTGCAGCTACTGCAAGCTCCCAACTGGTTTCAGTGACTCTGTGGAGAGGAAACCGAAGAAGTGCTCGGCATCAGAGACTGAGGTCAGCAGCCTAGAAGTGAGGAGACCTCACACAGGATATAGGAACTGAGCTCACAAAGTGGGGTGTAGACTAGACTGCTGATTTAAAATTGGGAATAGTGAGGATGGTGCTGGACTGCAGAGTTACATTTTGTTCTATTTGGGGTCACTATGAACACTTAATTGTGCTCGTATAAATCTTCTATCTAGACCAACAAGCTGTTGCATGAACTGGGCTAGGGAACATTTGTGATTTAAAGCAGGAGAGCTGTGCGTGAGGGTTGTAGCATTTGTCCATACCTATTTATTCTGTATGCTGAATGAATTATTTGAGAAGTTGGACTCTGTCAAGGAGAAATGTGACATCACACCGCCTTGCTTGCTGAAACTGCAAAGGTATCGAAGTAATTGTTACAGAAGGTTAAACATTGCAGCCTTCAATATAGATTAAATCTCAATACCAAGAAAACAAAAATTCTCAACACTGGCCCGATAAGCAACATCATGATAAATGGAGAAAAGACTGAACCTGTCAACAACTTCATCTTACTTGGATCCACAATTAATTATTTAGTACCAGCAATCAGGAGATTAGAGGACATAACTGGCCTGGGAAAGAATCCTGTCAGGGACCTCTCCAAAGTCCTCAAGAGCAACAATGTCAGTTTAAGGAGTAAAGTGTGCTGATTTAAGCTATGGTTTTTCTAAACATATGCATCTGAGAGCTGGACAACCAAAAAGGAAGACAGAAGAACAACTGATGCTTTTGAGCTGTAGTGCTGGAAGAGAGTAGTGAACATCCCATGGATGGCCAAAAGAACAAACAGATGTGTCTTGGAAAAGGTGCAGGCGGGGTGCTCCTTGGGAGGCAAGGATTATGAAGCTTTGTCTCACATACCTGGGGCATGGTGCTAATAGAAGTTATTCCTTGGAGAGGGACATCCTGCTTGGGGAGGAGGGTCGACAAAAGAGAGGAAGACTCTTAACCTGACTGACACAGTGACTATAGCAGTGTGCTTAAGTGTGTCTGAGACTGCAAAGATGGCACAGGATAGAAGAGTGTTCAGATCTTTTTGTTCACAGGGTTCCATGAGTCATACTCAACTCAATGGCACTTAACAACAATGAACACTTGTGGGATGATATCAAAGATATCAGCCATGAAGAAGGCAAAACATCACTACAAAAACAGAAAAGACAAGACTAAAATAGATGTCAGAAGAGACCCTGAAAACTGCACTAGAGCATCCAGAAGCCAAAATAAAGGAACATGATGCTAAAGTAAGAAAAAAACAAAGGATTTCAAAGGGCAGCCAGAGAAGAAAAAGCAAAGTATAATGGAATGTGTAAAGAGCTGAGTCAGAATTAAAAGGGAAGAACTAACTCAGCATTTCTTAAACTGAAAGAATGGAAAACAAATTCAAGCCTTGAGTTGCAATATTGAGAGATGCTATGGCATCTTGAATGATTCAGGAAGCATCAAAAGGATGAATTAAAAAGTCACTGTACTTTGAATGGTTGACACTGAAATATTTCAGGAAATAGCATGATTAAGAGCCAATGTTGATAATGGAAGACATTTAAGCTATACTGAAGGTACTGAAATCCATGGGATAATAACTGACATGTTTCAACCAAGTATAGCCCTGGATGTGCTCAACAGTCTATGCCAGGAAACTGAAAGACTACCACCTGGCCAGTGGACTAGGAGAGATCTATTATTTGTTTCCATTTTCAAGAAAGGTAATCCAACAGTGGAAATTATTGAGCAGTGTCATTAGTATCACAAGCAAGCAAAATATTGCTGAAAATCATCCAAAAATGACTAAAACAGTTCATTGACAGAGAACTGCCAGAAGTTCAAGTTGGGTTTAGAAAAGGCTATGGAACCCGGGATGTATCATTGCTGATGTCAGTTGGATCATGGCTGAAAGTAGAAAACAACAAAAGAAATTTCTTTTATTGACTGTGCAAAGGCATTTGACTGTGTGGATCAACAACAAATTACGGTTAACACTGAAAAGAATGGGAATTTCAGAACACTTGACCATGCTCAGATGAAACCTACACCTTGAGCAAGAAGCTATTTCCAAACAGAGGAAAGGAATAATGCATGATTTAAAAACAAGAAAAGGGCCGTATCCTTTTTTCCATACCCATTCAATCTGTACACTGAGAAGATTACAGAAGCTGTACTTTATCAAAATATGCTTCATGAAAAAGAATGTGGCCTCCAGTATAGAAGATAGCTCATTAATAACCTGTGTTATACGAGCTGCTATCAAGGATGCTTTAGGCAGAATATTAAATGATAGAAGAAGTATTAAAAGAAGATGGAAAAAATATATTGAGTCACTGTATCGAAAGGAATTGACAGAACTTCTCCAGTAGGGTAAAAAAGGAAGCCACTGACTGGGAAAAAGTATTCGGTAATAACATATCAGATAAGGGACTTATATCCAGAATTTATGA